GCCATTGTTTATGTTGGGGGGCTGGGGAGGGCAATGGCACCTGCCAGCTCTTTTGTTCCTGGAGTGGTTTCCCCATAATCTCTGTTTCTTGGGGGTGTGCTCTGAGATGAGCAAATCACTCTCCCTCCTGTCCGTCCCTGGTATTTTTCAAACTGCTGGTTCTGTGCTGTCTCCTAAGGGCAGGGACTACACTTCTAATGCCCTTGGGGCTCTCCCAGAGCTGAGCACACCAATTTTTAAAATTCCAGACTTTAAGTCCCAGTGGTTGTAAGAACACACAGTATTTGGGCCCTCTCATCTTCAAAAGCAAATATGATGGGGCTTCATCCTCCCCATCCATGGACTCCCTGGTATGAAAATCTTTTCTGCCCTTCTCTGTGCGACTGGCTACCCGTACCACAGATGGCCATGGTCTGTTTCACTCCCAGATCCAGTCTCTGCCCTTCCTATCTTCTTCAATGCAGTCTCTTCTCTACTATTTAGTTGTGGAGCTTGTTCCACAGGCTTTCGTGTTGTTGTCTGGGTTATTTACACTGATGTGAGTGTCATCTAGTTTCTGGAGGATGGAGGAAAGTTTAGGGTCCTCCTACCCTGCCATCTTCCCAGCCAACCCCGTCTAGGAATGCTTTATCCCCTTTAAGAAGCTGAATTCTTCAAGTCTTCTTAAGCAGAAAAAACAAAAAACGAAAAAACAAACAAAAAAAAAAACGGTACATTTACAGCACATGTAACTGGTGAATAAATATTTCAGGTAATAAGATAAATCCTGTTCATTAGAATAATTACCTCAGTGACCAAATTTTCTAAAAAGCAAAATGAAGTAAGTCACTTGAGAAATAGTCCTTAAAACTTGCCATGGAACACTACTTGCCCTTTCGTTTCTGGGTTCCTATGGAATTGGTCTCCCTTATCTCTCCTGAATTTACTATACTCCCTGGGTGTTATAGAGCAAACTACACTGACCTTCTGGGACCCTTTGTCGTCATATACTGTGCCAGGTGATATGTGTCTTTCTTACTTAATCTTCAAGGATTTTTGACTCAGGCTTTAAATTATTAGCTTGAATTAAAGAAAAATCTATTTTATGATTACTAAGTTTTCAGGGACCATTATATTTTCATAAACCATGCAACAAATTCATCATATTTTTACTGTCCTTCCCCAGTTTGTGCAGCAAATAGAACACAAAATTTGCCCTTAATCCTGACAAGAATAGATATCAATTGCAAATATTATTTATGTCACCCTTCTTCTTGGGAGAAAAATAGACTTTTATTTTGAAAATAATGGTTTCAAATGTCAGTTCTAATGGAATCAGATGTCAAGTTTCAGTTAATATTTGACATCAAGAAGCATTTTTACCTGAATTTTGAGAGCTAATTTTAACATGTTGGTATTTTTTTAATATTCTAGCAAATATATGTGCTCAAAGATTTGTCAGTGCTTTACATCTAGACACTTCTTCAGTCGTTAGTTTCAGAATTGGAACATTTCCCAAATAAGTGATCTTTCTCTCATCTGTAATTCATAATTTCTGTCCCAGGAGAGGTGTTCTAAATTCATGATCATCGTCCCAAATACACATGCATACTCAGTGAGAAACAGAGCAACCTCGAAGGGGGAATGGCAGACTCTGCAGATTGGCACTGTGCAGGCTGTGGCTGAACCTCGTCCACCAGCTGCTCACCAGGCCCCAGGGCCGCATTTCCAGGGAGCATGGACCACCACCACCTCCCTCAACAAATCTACTCTTCTCTGCCCAGCATTGCAAAATAGGTTACCCAGTAGATCTGGCCTAAGAAGAATGCCTAAAAACTGTACCCATAACTCAGCACATAAGTCCTAAATATTATAGGACCAATTTTCACTCAATCCAACAAAGAGCCATAATGAAAATGATTCTGTTTGAGAGTTTCTTCTCTAGATTATAAACTTTTGAGGCCAAAGACATTGTCTCCTTCACATGATCTCTCCACAGCCTGGCACACAGAGAGTAGGAGTTCAGGAAGTATTTGTTCTCTCAAATATGCCTGGGTACCTTGGGTAAGCCCTGGGAGACGTACTTTCTCCCTCATGTACTCTAAGCCTGCTCAGAACACCATCCTCTCTCCTCCAGGCAGGCCAGAGACTCTTTGCTCTTTTCTGCACCTTCTTGGGTATCCACAAAGATTTCCTTTTCCAGTGGATTATCTTCTTGCTTTCTCATCCATCCAAGTTGCTCAATTGATTTGGGCCTGTCAGTGTTCTGGTAAAAGATGAGGATAGAGGAGTGAATCTCTCCTCTATCTTCCGTCCTCTGGACTTGTTCCCTGCAAGTCAAGCCAAGGAAGGGATTTAGCAATCCCTGAGCACACTCCCATCTCTGCAGAAACATTCTGTGCTCTTTTGCTTACAGCTTCCAGCATCTTTGTGATGCTGTGGCCATTGGCCAAACTTCAGCAAAGTATAAAGAAAAAATAATTGCATAATCTGCAAATTCTTCAGGATATGTGTAGGATATGCATAAGAAGCAGATGCTTATCAAGTGCCTACTATGTACAAGACTATTACAATTTCTTGTCCTGGGTAGAATTTAAAACAAACAAACAAACAAACAAACCTGAATTCTTTAAAGTTCTTAGCTGTCAAGCATTTGATAGAAGAGGCTATATAAGTTTAAAATTGAATTGGCACCATTCACAAGTTGCCCTAAAGCGAGCTTTGCTTTCCAGAGTGGTTTCATTCAGATAGAGGATTTAGCAATCAAGGGGGCACTGCTGAGCTCTAGCCCAATATCAGACACTGTGCTGATGCTGTTTTGCAGGGTCTCCAGGCTACAGGATCCCTGTGGCTATATACCTGCTACAAGTACCAGTTTCTCAGAACACAGAAATGTGGAATGTTGATAGCCAAGAGTTGCTGGGGGCTCTACTGCAGGACTTGCAGAGCATTTCCCTTCCTCTCTCCTTGTTCTCATTTTAGTATCCACACCCTTTACCCCCACCACAAAGTAAAACCTCTGTACCCCAAAGAGAATTAGTAAACAGCTATGCAGAAGGACCCCACACACTTTTATAAACAAATGAGTTCAGGGGCAGGACAAGATATTTCTTCTTCGAACAGACCCTCATGTGACACAAGAGCACACAGTAGCCCCGCCTCAAGCCATCTCCCATCTCCTTCATGGTCAGAAAATATCATCCACAGTCATCTCTCATAGGACGACTAGCTGCAGCAGATTCATTTTGAGGAACAATGTGAGGGGATTGTATTGTTCAATTCTCAGTTGAAAAATGAGACTTTTCTGGTGTTAATCTGCTCAATAGGGTCTTCTGAAAATACAGCAAAGCCTTCAAGTGATTATTTAAACTAATGTGCCTTTGCTTAAATCAGAGCGGAGGCAGAGCTGAGAGCTTTGGCTCCAGTGCAGAATCTGTTTCTGGAAGCCCCTCACCAAACAACTACAGAAAGTGTCAGACATGCCTGGATGACCTCACTGGCACCCATAAGACAAAAAGGATCCTAGAATGAAGCCAGACACAATTTCTATATCCATACTGTTAGGGAATGTTCCCAGCGAATGAGAGAACCAAGTCCCTCAGGCCCCTACAACTTGAGTGCTATTGGCACAGAATGTGAACATAAGCTCTTGATAATGTTTAAAAAGAAAAAAAAAAAAAACAAAACAAAGCAGAAAGAACATTTAAGCTACAAGACTCAGAAGACTCAAAGTTTTAGTAAGCTCAGGATAGGGAAGTGTGACATGAGCTCAAGCTGCAGAATAAACAACGAAACCAAACAATCCATTAGATAGAAATTAGAAAGTGAGGAAAACCCCAGAAGTGCAAAAGAGAGCTAGAATTAAATACATGTCACAAAATCTTTGGGAGAAAAAAGTTTATTTTTCCTGAAAAACTTTAGTACGTTACCCTCAAATAAAAGTTCTTATTTATAACTTGCTTTCTAAATATACCAAACTGTTATTTCATGACCAAACGAATTGTTAATCACAATCCAGCTAGCTAGACCAGGGGTTAGCAAACTGCTCCTGAAAAGGGCTATGTACTAACTACTTTAGGTTTTATGAGCATACTGCCTCTATTTCAATTCTATTATGGCACAGTAGTGGTCATAGACATTTGTAAACAAATGGCATGGCTGTCCTCCAAGAAAACTTTATTTACAAAAACAGGTAACACACTGGTTTTGGCCCATGGGTTACTGTTAGTGAACCCTTGAGTTAAACAAACAAAATAATTCAGACCTGTACAAATAACACCAAAAGCACTTTATATATTTAAATTTTTACAATATTCAGACCTGTCAAAATACCCTCACTCTCTCCCTTTCTTTATGTGAGTATAGTCGGCACAATGTTAAATTGGTTTCAGGAGCACAACATAGTGATTCAACAAGTGTGTACATTATGCTGCGCTCGCCCCAGGTATGGCTACTATCTGCCACCACACAATGCTGTTATAGGATCAGAGTATATAGGATTCATTCTGCTGTGCCTGTTATCCCCATGAATTATTCATTCCGTAACCGGGAGCCTATATCTCCCACTCCCCTTCCCCCATTTTGCCCAAACTCCCACCCACCTCCCTCTGGCAGCCATTAGTTTGTTCTCTGTATTTATAAGTCTGATTCTGCTTTTTGTGTTTATTTTTTTTTTAAGATTTTATTTATTTATTTGAGAGAGAGAGAGAATGAGAGATAGAGAGCACAAGAGGGAAGAGGGTCAGAGGGAGAAGCAGACTCCCCGCCGAGCAGGGAGCCCGATGTGGGACTCGATCCCGGGACTCCGGGATCATGACCTGAGCCGAAGGCAGTCGCTTAACCAACTGAGCCACCCAGGCGCCCTGATTCTGCTTTTTGTGTTTATTTAATTTGTTTTAGATCCAAACATGACTGGAATCACAGGGGTATTTGTCTTTCTCAGTCTGACTTACTTCAGTTACTTCAATAATACCCTCTAGATCCATCCAGGTGTCACTAATGGCACAATCTCATCCTTTTTGGGGGGGGGAGTGCAAACACAGGCCCCCACTAACCACAAATTATGCAGTCAAGTTTCCTACATTTGGGGAAATCTCTCAGCACATCTGGAGTAAATGGTTAAGCCTCGCCCTGGGAAAACCACCTTTGTGATCATGGTATCTCCCCTGCCAGGTACATATTCATCCTTTTTATTTTAATGGCAACATTCCATTGTATGTGTATACCACAGTTTCCTTATCCAATCATCTATCTGTGGTCACTGAGGTTGCTTCCATATCTTGGCTATTGTAAGTAATACTGCAATAAACATAGGGGTACATATATCTTTTTCAATTAGTGTTTTTGTTTTCTTTGGGTAAATACCAGCTAGTGGAATTATTAGATCAGACAGTACTCCTATTTTAAATTTTTTGAGGAAACTCCATACTGTTTTCCACAGTGGCAGTAACAATCTACACTCCCACCAAGAGTGCACCAGGATTCCCTTCTCTCCACATCCTCACCCACACTTGTTATTTCTTATCTATTTGATTTAACCATTGTAACAGGTATAAAATGATATCACATTGTGATTTTGATTGGATTTTTCTGATGATTAGTGGTGTTGAGCATGTTTTCACGTGTCTGTTGGCCATCTCTATGACCTCTTTGGAAGAATGTCTATTCATGTTCTCTCTTTTTTAATTAGATTGTTTTTTGGAGTTTTTTTGTTTTGGTTTGTTTTTTTGGTTTGGGGGTATTTTTGGTGTTAAGTTCTCTATATATTTTGTATATTAACCCCTTATCAGATATATCATTTGCAAGTATCTTTTCCCATTGAGAAGGTTGCCTTTTTGGTTTGTTGATGGTTTCCTTTGCTGTGCAAAAGTTTTGTATTTTGTTTTAGTCCAAATAGTTTATTTTTGCATTTCGTACCCTTGCCTGAAGATATATATCTAGAAAAATGTTGCTATGGCCAATCAGAGTAATTATTGCCTATGTTCTCTTCTAGGAGTTTTATGGTTTAAGGACTTCTATTTAGGTCTTGAATCCATTTTGAGTTTATATTGTCTATGGTGTTGGAAAGTGGTCCAGTCTCATTCTTTTATATGTAGCTGTTCAATTTTCCCAGAACTATTTATTGAAGAGACTGTCTTCTCCACATTGTATAGTCTTCCCTCCTTTGTCATAGATTAATTTCCCATATAATTGTAAGTTTATTTCTAGGCTCTCTGTTCTGTTTCATTGATCTCTGTGTCTGTTTTTGGGCCCGTACCATACTGTTCTGATTACTACAGCTTTGTAGTATATCTTGAGCTCTGGAATTGTAATATCTCCAGCTTTGTTTTTCTTTCTCAAGACTGCTTTGGCTACTCAGAATCTTTTATGGTTCCAAACAAATTTTAGGAGTATTTCTTCTAGTGTGAAAAATGCTGTCAGTATTTTGATTGGGATTGCATTAAGTCTGTAGATTGCTTTGGGTAGCGTGGACATTTTATCAGTACTTGTCCTTGCAATTCATGAGAATGGAATATCTTTCCATTTGTTTGTGTCATCTTCAATTTCTTTCATCAGTGTTTTATAGTTTTCAGATAGAGGTCTTGCACCTCTTTGGCTATGTTATTCCTACATATTTTATTATTTTTGATGCAACTGTAAATGGTGTTGTTTTCTTAATTTTTCTTTCTGCTACTTCATTAATAATATATAGAAATGCTGCTCATTTCCATATATTAATTTTGTATCCTACAACTTTATGAATTTATTATTTCTAGTGCTTTTTTTGGTGGAGTCTTTAGGATCTCCTAAGTATAGTGTCATGTCATCTATAAATAGTGGCAGTTTAACAACTTCTTTACCATTATGAATGCCTCTAGTTTCTTTTTCTGGTCTGATTGCTGTGGCTAGGACTTTCTGTATTCAATAAAAGTAGTGAGAGTGGACATCTTTGTCTTGTTCTTGATCTTAGAGGAAAAGCTCTCAGTTTTCACCAGTGGGTATAATGTTAGCTGTAGGCCTTTATTATGTTGAGGTATGTTTCCCCCAAACCTACTTTGTTGAGATTTTTTTTTATGGATGAATGGATGTTGAACTTTGTCAAATGCTTTTCTGCATCTATTGAGATGATCATATAATTTTTATCCTTTGCTTTATTTATATGGTATATCACATTGTTTTGCAAATATTGAACCATCTTTGTGTTTCAGAAATTAATCTCACTTGATCATTGTGAATGATCCTTTCAATGTACTGTTGAATGCAGTTTGCTAATATTTTGTTGAGGATCTTGCATCTATGTTTATCAGGGATATTGGCTTGCAGTTTTGTTTTGTTTTGGTGTTTTGGGGGATTTTTTTGTGTTTTGTTGTTTTTGCAGTGTCTGTTTTTGTTTGTTTGTTTGTTTGCAGTGCCTTTGTCTGCTATCAGAGTAATGCTGGCCTTGTAGAATATATTTGGGAGATTTCCTTACTCTTCTATTTTTTTCAATACTTTGAGGAGAATGAGTATTAACTCTTCTTTAAATGCTAGTGAATCTATCTAGTCCTGGGCTTTTATTTTTTGGTAGCTTTTTGATAACTGATTTAATTTCATTACTAGTAATCAGTCTATTCAAGTTTCTATTTCTTCCTCATTCAGTTTGGAAGATGGTATGTTTCTAGGAATGTATCTGTTTCTTCTAGGTTGGCTAATTTGTTGGCATAACATTTTTCCTGGTATTCTCTTACAATCCTTTGTAATTTTGTGGTGTCAGTTATTACTTCTCCTCTCTCATTTCTGATTTTATTTATTTGGGTCCTTTCTCTTTTTTTCTTGCTCAGTATGGCTCAGGGTTTATCAATTTTGTTTATCTTTTCAAAGAACCAGCTCTTGGTTTCATTGATCTTTTTATTACTTTATTAGTCTCCAAGTCATTTATTTCTGCTCTGATTTTATTATTTCTTTCCTTCTACCTGCCTTGGATTTTGATCTGTTTTTTTGTTTGGTTGACTTTTTTTGGGTTGTTGGTTTTTTTTAGTTCCTTTAGGTGTAAGCTTAGTTTATTTGAGCTTTTTCTTGTTTCTTGAAGTCGGCCTGTATCACAGCATATTTCCCTCTTTGAACTGCTTTCACTGCATCTCAAAGATTTAGAGCACCTGTGTTTTCATTTTCATTTGTCTCCATGTATTTTTTTTTAATTTCTTCTTGATTGCTTCATTGGGCCATTGGTAGTTTATATCATGTTTAGCCTCCATGTGTTTGTGTTTTGTCCAGTTTTTTTTCTTGTGATTGATTTCTAATTTTGTACCATCGTAGTTGGAAAAAATGTATAGCATGACTTCAATCTTATTAAATTTCTAGGGGCTTGAGTGCCTGGGTGGCTCAGTCCGTGAAGGGTCTGCCTCCAGCTCAGGTCATGATCTCAGGGTCCTGAGATCAAGTCCTGCATCAGGCTCCCTGTTCAGCAGGGAGTCTGCTTCTCCCTCTCTCTTTGCCCCTCCCCCCTGCTCATGCTCACTCTCTCTGTCTCAAATAAATAAATAAAATCTTTAAAAATAAATAAATAAATTTCTAGAGGCTTATTTTTTGACCTAACGTGATCTGGTCTGGTGAATGCCCCATATGCACTTGAAAAGAATGGGTATTCGTTGTGTTTGAATGGAATGTTCTGAATTATATCTGTTATGTCCATCTGGTTTAATGTGTCATTCAAAGACATGGTTTCCTTTTTGTTTTTTAAGATTTTATTTATTTATTTGAGAGAGACAGAGACAGAGAGAGTGCAAGCAGGGGGAGAGGGGCAGAGGGAGAAGCAGACTCCCGGCTGAGCAGGGAGTCTGATGCGGGGCTCAATCAAAGGACCCTGAGATCATGACCTGAGCTAAAGGCAGCCACTTAACCGACTGAGCCACCCAGGCGCCCCAAGACATGGTTTCCTTGTTGATTTTCTATGTGGATGATCTGTCCATTGATGTAAATGGTGTGTTAAAGTCCCCAACTCTTATTTTATTGCCATCAATCTCTCTATCTCCATTAATATTTGCTTTATGTATTTAGGTGCCAGTGTTGGGTGCATAGATATATACAATTGTTATATCCTCTTGTTGGATTGATCTCTTTTATCATTATGAAATGCCCTTCTTTGTCTCTTAGTACAGTCTTTGTTTTAAGGTCTATTTTATATAAGTATTGTTACTGCAACTTTATTTTTTGCTTCCACTTTCATGGTAAATATTTTTCCATCCTCTTACTTTTAGCCTGTATGTGTTGTCAGATCTGAAGTGAGTCTCCTATAGGCAGCATATAGATGGGCCTTATATTTTTACCCATTCTAAAACCCTATGCCTTTTGATTGGAGCATTTAGACCACTTACATTTAAAGTATTTATAGGTGTGTACTTATTTCCATTTTATTCTTTTTCTGGTGGTTTTTGTAATTCTCTGTTCCTTTATTCTTCTTTTGTTCTCTTTCTTTGAGTTGGATGAATTTCTGTAGTGTTATGTTTGGCTTTTTATTTTTTAAAATCTATTGTAAATTTTGGGTTTATGGTTACCATGAAGTTTATATGTAACATCCTAAGTAAATAGCAGTCTATATTAAGTTGATGGTCATTGGTTATATAAGTTAAAACATATTCTGAAAAAAGAAAAAAAAACTTCCATTTTTTTACTACCTCCTCCACATTTTATGTATTTGCTGTCGTATTTTATCTTTTTATTCTTTGTTTTCTTACATCTAATTATGCCTATTTCTTTTTCACTTATAGAAGTCCATTTAACATTTCTTGTAAGGCTGGTTTAGTGGCCATTATCTCCTTTAACTTTTGTTTATTTGGGAAACTATCTCTCCTTCAAATCTGAATAATAACCCTGCTGGGTATTCTTGGTTGTGAGTTTTTTCCTTTCAGCATTTTGAGTATTTCATGCCACTTTATTCTAGCTTTCAAAATTTCTGCTGAAAAATCAGCTGATGATCTTATAAGTTTTTCCTTCAAAGTTACTTTTTGCTTCTCTATTGCTGCTTTTAATATTCTCTTTATCTTTAATCTTTGACATTATGTGTCATGGTGTGGACCTCCTTGGGTTCATCTTGTTTGGAACTCTGTTTTTTGGAATTGGGCATCTATTTCCTTCACTAGTTTAGGGAAGTTCTCAGCTATTATTTCCTAATACATTTCTTAATACATATATATAACTTATGTATACACACACACACACACAC